ACCAGGGACAACAGCTCCATATGCAGATGATTTGGAAGGAAGTAATGGTGGGTCTTCATATCTTTGTGAGCCTTCCGGCAGCGGCTACGCCCACACATAAAATACAAGGTCAACCACCGTCCACTTTGCAGAAGTTTTTCACTCACCATGCCTTGAGAGGCACTTAATAGGTAGCCAGGAAGGTAGCTACTTCCATCTCTGGTCGAAGAACTTAGAGTATTTTGCGCGTTGAATGTGGTGGACCATGAGGGAGGTAGCTGGCTTGCAGAGAGGGCTGGTTGACTGGGACCTAACGCAGAATAGTTGAGGGTCGACTGGTTGTGAGCGAGATTTGGTCGCTTATAGGAACGATCTGGAGCCCTGTCGCCGTAGGTAGAGGAGGAAAACATGTGTACAAGGGTGGGGGAACGCGTCTGAGTTTGTCTACTGTTTGGCGACGCGCCAACTCCTTTGACTCCACCTTGCACAATCTAGGTTGTATCAATAAATGACATTTGATGGTATAAAGGCATCTTCCTGCTCTGAGAGAGTGTCTATGCCCAGCTTTTGTCGAGTCGAAAACATTCAAATAGTGTTATTGTGCTATACGCTAATCTAAACAATCCAACAACGATTATAGCATATAAAACTAAACTTTAAAATGATTCTGGGCGTGAATGGAACGAAGTGATTGTATTTGGTTACCCGCAAGATAAGGCGGGTGCCGCCATCAAGTTGTTTACCTCTTTGGGAGAGTGCCAAGAGCCAATTCCCGGACCAGAAGGAGGCAATTGGTTTAAAATTGCGTATAAAAACGAATGGGAAGCTGCCAGAGCTGTACGAAAGAATGGAGAGCTCATCAACGGACAATGGATGGTCGGAGTCAAATGGGCTGTGAGTAAACCCTTTTCAACTTTCTTTATTCATGTTTCTCAATCCTCCGAATAGACAAATGAGGGAAAGGAGCTATGGTCGAGCCAAAACGCTGCTGCCCCTCCGACCAGTGTTGAGGAGGACGCCGCCCAAGTTACTGCTCGAACAAATGTTATTGGAAGACCTGTTCGTTTGGAGCCAAGTTCCACCGCGTACAAGGCTACACCAGGAGGTGTCATTAATCCAGCAGGTGGAGAGGACTGGGCCTCTGCGCATACTGCCAACAAAACGAATCAGAGGCCGGGCCTATTCGGACTCATTGGATTTTAATCTACAACCTCAATCATCATCTTTTCATATTTATCGTATTAGATTGAATGATATAAATTTCCGATGGATACTATATTGACAAACATGAATGACACAAAATGATGCAAACTTTTCAGCGGATACTCGGATCGGTATCCTAAATTTGCATGAACAAAATCTCTTTTC